CACACACACACACACACACACACACACACACACACACACACACACACACACACACACACACACACACACACACACACACACACACACACACACACACACACACACACACACACACACACACACACACACACACACACACACACACACACACACACACACACACACACACACACACACACACACACACACACACACACACACACACACACACACACACACACACACACACACACACACACACACACACACACACACACACACACACACACACACACACACACACACACACACACACACACACACACACACACACACACACACACACACACACACACACACACACACACACACACACACACACACACACACACACACACACACACACACACACACACACACACACACACACACACACACACACACACACACACACACACACACACACACACACACACACACACACACACACACACACACACACACACACACACACACACACACACACACACACACACACACACACACACACACACACACACACACACACACACACACACACACACACACACACACACACACACACACACACACACACACACACACACACACACACACACACACACACACACACACACACACACACACACACACACACACACACACACACACACACACACACACACACACACACACACACACACACACACACACACACACACACACACACACACACACACACACACACACACACACACACACACACACACACACACACACACACACACACACACACACACACACACACACACACACACACACACACACACACACACACACACACACACACACACACACACACACACACACACACACACACACACACACACACACACACACACACACACACACACACACACACACACACACACACACACACACACACACACACACACACACACACACACACACACACACACACACACACACACACACACACACACACACACACACACACACACACACACACACACACACACACACACACACACACACACACACACACACACACACACACACACACACACACACACACACACACACACACACACACACACACACACACACACACACACACACACACACACACACACACACACACACACACACACACACACACACACACACACACACACACACACACACACACACACACACACACACACACACACACACACACACACACACACACACACACACACACACACACACACACACACACACACACACACACACACACACACACACACACACACACACACACACACACACACACACACACACACACACACACACACACACACACACACACACACACACACACACACACACACACACACACACACACACACACACACACACACACACACACACACACACACACACACACACACACACACACACACACACACACACACACACACACACACACACACACACACACACACACACACACACACACACACACACACACACACACACACACACACACACACACACACACACACACACACACACACACACACACACACACACACACACACACACACACACACACACACACACACACACACACACACACACACACACACACACACACACACACACACACACACACACACACACACACACACACACACACACACACACACACACACACACACACACACACACACACACACACACACACACACACACACACACACACACACACACACACACACACACACACACACACACACACACACACACACACACACACACACACACACACACACACACACACACACACACACACACACACACACACACACACACACACACACACACACACACACACACACACACACACACACACACACACACACACACACACACACACACACACACAGAAAAAGAAAAAATATCAACCTGGCACTGCCATATACTCTGATAAAGCTGGCTGGCCAGACATGTGACACCAGAGTGAGGGCTTACCCCGAGCAATATAGCATGTACATTAGCACGATTACTGAAAGCCGTGAGAACAATAGACCATGTGGCTGTTTAGAACCATCACAACAGCAGGGACTTAGATGACAACATTATCTGACCTCGTCTGACCCCATCAGTTCACTCCCAGCAGTCTCCGGCCCCCCAAAGCTGACTGGCTGGACACATGACACTGTGCTCTGCAAGTGCCGTAAGACATTGTCTCGCGTGCTTCCCTTATTGTGTAGTATGCTTCTTTAATAAAGAGTCAAACTGTTACACAACTATTACTGTCCTATATAAAGTATCTACATACTTGGAATTGAGGATTTTGTCTCTGGTGACTACATTTGCACTGTAAAGAAATGTCCAAGGTGTTCCTTATCATAACATTGTCAGAATACTTTAGGAATGCAAGTATTTTAATTTTTGGATTTAACATACTAAAGAAAAATGGTGCTACCTATCTTTC